CCTCGGCGTGCGCAACCAATCGTGCTTCGAAGAAGGATCAACAGGCTGCCCTTGCCACCGTGCATGACCCACATCACCATGTCCTCGGCATCGGTCACTGGCACGGGCCTGTGCAACCAATCGTGCTTCGGTTGAGGTTCAAGGGGCATCCCGCTAGCAAAAACAGAGAAGAAACCTTGCCTCAATCCAACAGCCACATCACCACGTCCTAGGCACATATAACCGGTGGCACGGGCCTGTGCAAACAATCGTGCTTCGGACGAGGATCAACAGGCTGGCCATCAATTCACTAGCAACTTTTCATCGATATAGGATCATTCTCGTTGGGTTCGATTCATGACGCGCATCCCCATGTCCTAGGCACATATGATCGGTTACTGGCCTCGGTGTGTGCAACCAATCGTGCTTCGAATGAGGATCAACAGGCTTCCCTTGCCATCGTACATGACCCGCATCACCAGGTCCTCGACATCGGTCACTGGTATGGGCTTGTGCAACCAATCGTGCTTCGGTTTAAGGGTCAATGGGCTGCCCGCTAGCAAAAACAGAGAAGAAACCTTGCCTCAATGCATCACCCACATCACCACGTCCTAGGAACATATGACCGGTCATTAGCCTAGGCCTACGCAACCAATCGTGCTTCGGACGAGAATCAACATGCTAGCGGTCAATTCCATAGCAACCTTCCTACGATATCGGATCATTCTCGTTTACCGATAGGGCTAGGCCAGGGGGGAGACCTTTGATCTGATATAGCGACCCATGCTTCGACTAGTGTCTCTCGATCAGTGATTTGGCTTGTCCTAATCGGTGCCCTGAGACACTCTAYACCCCCCTATATATACCTTATGGACAAAAAGCAAAGTGACAGGAACAAACATTGATTTTTTGAGGAGTCATAATTTTTGAAATAGGCACACAGTTTAGCCGATGCATGGGCAATGCTGGGCATGACGTGCAGGAACGGGCTCCCTGTGTGCGGGGAACAGGCACGACGTGCGGGTAACGGGCGACGTTCTCATGTTCGAGGCATAACGTGGGGGCTTGCATGCTGGGCATCACGCATTTGGACCAACCTCTTCGTGCCACAGCCCATGCCTTAGGCGGCCACGAAGTGGGGGGAGCCAGACCCCATGGTCCCCCCCTATATATACCTTATGGACAAAAAGCAAAGTGACAGGAACAAACATTGATTTTTTGAGGAGTCATAATTTTTGAAATAGGAACAGAGTTTAGCCAATACACGGGCAAGGGTGGGCACGACGTGCGGGAACGGGCACGCGGCATGTAGGAACGGGTGTCCCGTGTGCGGGAAACGGGCACGGCGTGCGGGGAACGGGTGATGTTCTCGTGATCAAGGCACAACGTGGGGGCTAGTGTGCTGGGCATCATGCATTTGGCTAACCTCTTCGTGCCACACCCCGTGCCTTGGGCGGCCACGAAGTGGGGGGGAGCCAGACCCCATGGTCCCCCCTATACATACCTTATGGACAAAAAGCAAAGTGATATGAACAAACATTGATTTTTTGAGGAGTCATAGTTTTTGAAATAGGCACACCGTTTAGCCGATGCATGGGCAAGAGTGGGCACGACATGCGGTGAACATGCACGCGGCGTGCGGGAATGGGCGCACAACATGGGGGAATGGGCGTGCGGCATGGGGAAAGGGCGCGCGGCATGGGGAACGGGCGCGCTGTGTGAAGGGAAAGGGCATGGCGTGCGTGGAACGGGCGACGTTCTCGTGATCGACGCACGACGTGGGGGCTTGCGTGCTGGGCATCATGCATTTGGCTAACCTATTCATGCCACACCCCATGCCTTATGCGGCCACGGCGTGGGAGGGAGCCAAACCCCATGGTCGCCCTTATATATACCTTATCGACAAAAAGCAATATAACAGGAACAAACATTGATTTTTTGAGGAGTCATAATTTTTGGTAGAAGTCCCAAACGGGGTCGGTTTTGGACAAAACTTTGCGTGAGCCTTCGGGGATATAAAAAAACAATGTTCCAACAAAAAAATCTGGATTTCGGGTCAGGATTTTCCCGGGGGCTGGCCTGGGGGGTGAAACAGCACCGGCAGGCGTTTGCGGCCGTTTCACGATCAATCAGAGCCGGTTTTGCATAAAACTTTGCATGAGCCCCCGAGAACATATTTAGACACTCCCTACAAAATGATATGCACTTTTACGGCTTGGTATATTCCCGGTTCGGGTCCGGGGGGCCGGGATTGCCGGTGGAGGCGTTTAAGGCCGCTTCATGATCAAACGGGCACAGATCTGGACGAAACTTTGTGTGACCCATCAGAAACAAATATGAACAATGTAGGGACACAAAAACATTGTTTTGGGGTCGGGATTCCAGGGCTTGGACGTCCCAGAGGGCGTGTATGGCCGTTTCATGATCAAATGGGGTCGGTTTTGGATGAAACTTTGCGTGAGCCTTCGGGAACATATACAAGGGAAATTCCCATCATGACATGAGGTTTTTGGGCCAGGATTTATCGGCATGGGCCCCAGGGACGTCTTCAAAGGGGATATACGACCGTAACTCGAAGGCATGGGGTCGGATTTGTACGAAACTTTGTGTGACCCCTCCAGTACATATGTATGCCTTTTCCGACAATGAGATGTGGGTTTTCGCATTCGTGAAGACTCAGAGTGGCATTGATCGTTGTGCCGGGCTTGAATAAAACATGATTGACTAGGGACTTCCCATGAGCATTATGTGGGAGGACTTTTGATTATTGAATTGTTTTTCGGGCCGCTTTGGTTCATGGATCGATATGTTTCACATGGCCCGAATTGCATTGCCGTGCTTGAAGGCCATGTAACAACTCTTGGCCCGACTTGCCTGGGCATGGCATGCTTGGTAGCGTCGTGTGGGACAAGGCACCAGGCGTTCTTGGCTTGGCTTGGCTCGGCCTGCCTGGGTATGGCATGCTTGCTAGCATCATGCGGCACAAGGCATCGGCCGTGCTTGGCTTGCCTAGGCATGGCATGCTTGGTAGCATCATGCTGGCACAAGGCACCGGCCGTGCTTGGCTTGCCTAGGCAAGGCATGCTTGCTAGCATCGTGCGGGCACAAGGTACCGGGCGTGCTTGGCTTGGCTTGGCTCGGCTTGCCTAGGCATGGCATTTTGGCTAGCGTCATGCAGCCACAAGGCACCGGGCGTGCTTGGCTTGGCTTGGCCCGGCATGCCACTAGGCATGGCATGCTTGCTAACATCATGCGGGTACAAGGCACCGGGCATGCTTGGATTGGCTTGGCCCGGCTTTCCTAGGCATGGCATGCTTGCTAGCGTCGTGCGAGCACAAGGCACCGGGCTTTCTTGGCTTGGCTTGGCCCAGCTTTCCTTAGGCATGGCATGCTTGCTAGTGTCGTGCGGGCACAAGGCACCGGGCATGCTTGGCTTGCCTAGGCATGACTTGCTAGCATCGTGCGCCCAGGCTTTGGGCATGCTTGGCTTGCCTAGGCATGGATGGCATGCTTGGTACGTCGTGCGGGCATAAGGCTCCAGGCGTGCTTGGTTTGGCTTGGCCCGACTTGCCTAGGCATGGCATGCTTGCTAGCATCGTATGGGCACAAGGCACCGGGCGTGTTTGGCTTGGCTTGGCCCGACTTGCCTTAGGCATGGCATGCTTGCTAGCGTCGTGCGGGCACAAGGCACCGGGTGTGCTTGGCTTGCCTAGGCATGACTTGCTAGCATCGTGCGGGCACAAGGCTCCGGGCGTGCTTGGCTTGCCTAGGCATGGATGGCATGCTTGGTCGCATCGTGTGGGCATAAGGCTCAGGGCATGCTTGGCTTGGGTTTGGTTATGCCTATGATCGCCAAAACCTCTTATGCCATAGCCCCTAGCTACCCGGCCACGGGCATGGGGGAGCAGCAGACCCCATGGTTCCCCTATATATTCTTTATGGACAAAAAGCAAAGTGACAGGAACAAGCATTGATTTTTTGAGGAGTCATAATTCTTGAAATAGGCACAGCGTCTGGCACGGGGAAGCCAAGCCATTGGTAGAGTAGTCAAGGGGTGCGACATACGGGCAAGCCAATGCAAGGACTCCAAGCCAAACGGGCAAGCCAATGCAAGGAATCCAAGGCACCGGCGTGCTTGGCTTGGCTTGGCCCGGCTTGCCTAGGCATGGCATGCTTGGTAGCGTCGTGCGGGCATAAGGCATCGGGCGTGCTTGGCTTGGCTTGGCTTTGGCCGTGACTATGATCGCCAAAACCTCTGATGCCATAGCCCCTGGCTTCCCAGCCACGGGCATGGGGGAGCAGCAGACCCCATGGTTCCCCTATATATACCTTATGGACAAAAGGCAAAGTGACAGAAACAAGTATTGATTTTTTTAGGAGTTATAATTCTTGAAATAGGCACACCGTCTGGCACGGACAATAAACGGGAACGATGTGATGAAGAAAGTAGCATATTTTCATCCACGATTGGATGGAATTTTGAGGGGTCGCGTGTGTTAGAACAGTACGCGCGTCTCAAAAAAAATATATGATTTAAATAAAAATGATGTCATAAAATGTTTCATTTTCCATTTCCTTTTAAACAAAAAGTTTAAGATATTCAAAAACAACATAAGAACATGAAAAGTTTTTGAAAAAGTTCAGTGATAAGAAGAATCACTGAAGAAAAGTAAATCTTTTAAAACATTAATCACTGAAAGAGAAAAGCTTCAGTGATAGTTTTGTTTTAAGAAAAGAAAAATATATCTTAGAGAGATATTTCCATAAATGGTTCAGTGATGAAAGAAACACTGAAACAATCTTTTAAAACATTTGAATCACTGAATTAGGAAAGGTTCAGTGATAAATTTAAGTATTGAAGAGAGAGAGAGAAAGAGAGAGAGAGAGAGAGAGAATAAGTATACATACCTTAGAAAGAGAAGATATATTTACTCAAGAGTTCAGTGATAGAATAAGAACATTCAATCATTTCACTTACTGAGTAATTATTATAGCTGAAGGAAATTAATCCTCAACGTTTAGCATTCCAAGTTCGCTGATCAAGATGTTGAATCTTGTCTTATCAAGAGGCTTTGTAAAAATGTCAGCGAGTTGGTAATCATTTGGAGTAAAGTGTGGTTCAATTTTACCATTCATAACCTGATCTCTGATAAAATGATATTGGATCTCAATATGTTTGGTCTTGGAGTGAAGAACAAGATTGTTTGCAATAGAAATAGCACAAATGCTAATGCAATAGATAGGAATTTTGGAAAACTGCAGATCGTAGTCGTTGAGCTGGGTTTTTATCCAAAGAACTTGGGCACAGCAGCTTTCAACAGCAACATATTCAGCTTTAGCAGTAGATGTGGACACAGAATTTTGCTTTTTACTTGTCTAGCTTACCAACTTTCCACCTAGAAGCTGGCAGTCTCCAATGGTGCTTTTCCTATCAATTTTGCATCCTGCAAAATCACTATCTGAATAATCTATTAGGTCAAAAATTGAACCCTTAGGGTACCAGAGACCCAAGTTAGGATTTCCCATGAGGTATCTAAATATGCGTTGTACAGCAATCAAATGTGATTCCTTAGGTTCAGATTGATATTGTGCACAAAGAAAATTAGAATACATGATATTTGGTCGACTTGTAATGAGATACAGTAGAGAGCCGATCATTCCTCTATAAATAGTAATGTTTACAGGCTTTCCGTTTAGATCCTTATTTAGAGAGAGAGGAGGAGTCATCGGAGTTTTCATAGATGAATTGTTGGATAGATCAAACTTTTTTAGCATATCTCTGWYGTACTTACTTTGGCTGATAAAGATACCTTTATCTGATTGCTTGATCTGGAGACCTAGAAAATAAGTTAGTTCTCCCATCATACTCATCTGATATTCTTTCTTCATGCGATCAGC